GACATGCGATTATCACACTCATTGATGAACGTTCATCCAATCGCTAACGAAACTCATCTGTCCCGCTCCGTCTTGGCTCCCACCAGAGGTCCTGGCAGCCACAACAGCTGATACAATAGGCAGATAGTATTACCGGCAAATACAAGGGAGACTGGAATAGCAATTTCTGGCTTATTAGTTATCGTCAGCCAGTCATACCCAGACCCAATTAGTGTCCCGCCTGAGCCTCGAACTCGCGACCTATTTGATCAGAGTCAAACGTCCTAACCATTGAGCCACGAGCTCGCTGTCTTACTTGGTTAGGTCAAGGGATAGTGACACTCATTGATGAACGTTCACCCGACCGCTAACGAAACTCATCTGTCCCGCTCTGCCTTGAACCCTTGTCTTTGCCGGTAATACTATCTGATTATGACACTGCTGGTCAGAAGACGAGCAAAGGATGTGGTGACCACTAGTAGTACAGTTGGAAGATCCCCGCGCTACCAATTCGTGCCAAGCCAATAAAAAGAAATCAACAGTAAAAGTCCACCAGCAGAGATTGAGGATCTGTCCAGATTACGGCCTTGGAGTCGCAATTTCATGTCCACAGAGGCGGTTGCATAGGCCCGAGTAATTAACAATCGAGTAGTGCCTCCGAAAAAAAAAACAGACGGGCTGGGATGACAAATACTGGCGTAGTTGCGTCGCCGGTCAGCTGAGGGTGAGAAGATACGCGGTTCAAGCTCGGTAATTAGGCCAAAACACCTTACTACTCGGAGCTACGTGCTCGCATTCTGTCAACTACTGTTCGCACAAGACATGGAAGCGGTTCTTAGACCTTAAGTTTTCGGTCCCCGTCGATGCAGAAGAGAATTGGTGTAGTCTAGCAGCTCTGCTGTCGCTAATCGTCACATGTGGAGAGGTATCTTCCGTGACATCGTTGAGGCCTGCTGGATCGGACATAATCACATCCATATCAGGTACAAGTCAGTACTGTGCCAATACGCATAGAGATTACGCTCAAGCGAGTCTGCCTTACCATAATGGTCAAAAGGCAGGGTTTTAACGACCCGGAATAGGATAACCGTACATGAATGCCGACGTGTGACAAATGTTAGCCTCACTCTTCCTTGGTTTTGTTGCTTCATCCTCCACTGCAGGAGCGCAGTGTTGCTGCAATCGACCTGGCGCCGTTACCCCCTTGGAGGCATCCAAGAGAAGGTCAAACCCAAACCTTGTTCGACACAGTTCGTTAATACATGCAAGTTTTAGTTGGACCTTCGGCACTCCGTATCCGTTGCTGTGGCGAACATAATGCATGAAGCTGTCTAAATCTTCATCCACGTGGAGAGATACAGTCGCCATACAGACGTCATAGAAACCGGCAATATTAGACAAGAGCGCGGCTGCACGAATATGATACGGCGCCTCTGTTAAAAACACAACTAAGACAGAGCAGCTAAAATATATGCGGAGATGCAGAATCTCTTAGTGAAATAGTCAAATCACTACTTGAGTCTCGGCCAAAAAAACACTTTTTTCAACCATTTATGATCCCTTGGCGCCAATAAGAGGAGTACGATCACCGAGGATGGAATTTCAGGACATCGATGAAGCTGAGCCTGGTAATAACATCCGACAGCTCCGAGAACAGAGGTAGCACACGATCTGAGACAAGTTTTGCCATGGCCTCTGATGTGGAAAGACTATGGAATCCATCGTGATTATTCGGACACGGCCAAAGGTGTTCATTTCTAAGCCGGATGAATTGATTTTAGGCTATTCAGGCAGCGGAAAACCCTCGGTTTTATGCGCAGGTCAAGCGTGTGCGAATTATACACCCAAACCTTGAGCGATTTTGGAGAACCATAACGACTAGCATTAACTATGGGGGGGGGGTGAGTGTTCCTTAGGTTTTACGTTGTTTAGGACGGGACAAATACATGAAGGTAGAGGCGTAGTTAAAGCTGGCCGATAGTGGAAAACTCGATTGATGGCAAATAAGCAAGTAAGTGCGAAACAGTGACATCGACGGGAATGTCTGGCTGCTGATTTGACAGATGGGGTTTAATAACATTGTTGTAGGCGATAAACTAAAAACAGTCGGAGGATGCGTCGCGAAAAAAAGTTGCGTTGAACCAATAGAATCAGTAGGGAGACCACCTGCTTACAGTACGATGTAAATGCTACTGAGGGAACCAAAGTAGCACAATTATTTTGTCTGAAACCCAAGAACAATAGAAGTGATGACGAAGGAAGACAAAGGGGGTTTAAGAGGTCGCCTCTGGCCTATTTGTTGTCACCAGCCAGAAACATTAATATCCGCCTTCCCCATCCTCGCCAACATTTCAGCTGCACTATCGACATTTTTAAAGTCGGAAGGTAAAACAAACAAATCTGTTCTATCTAACAGCGAGAGTCGGCAAAATTGGAAACAAACTTCGCAAGGGTCGTAACATATGTTGAAACACTATTTAAACATGCAAATAAGCATCCGAAGATAGATACGCTATGTCAGGGGGGGCGGTTATCTCTTCAGACGAAGCGCAAACAGGTAGATGATTGCAAATAAGAAATAGACGCGATCACTGGAATGGCAATTATATTATTCTGAGCTTACTGCCTAACACATGAGGCCATCGTCAGAGAAAATAAGAGAGCAGCAAGCGTTGGCGTGTTTTTGTGGTTTAGCTACAAGTACATGGGGGTGGGGTAGCGTTTGTGATTGGTCCATGCCCATGCCGTTTCATCGGATCTCCTCTGCACGCGTCCTTGGTGTTATGGCTCAGAATAATACAATTGCCGTTCCAGTGATCGCGTTTCTTTAATCTTTACAGCAAGAACCTGGGGCAAGCATATTTGCTTCTATTTGTGAGATAGGTGATTCTTGTAGGCATGAAGTAGCCGATAGAACAGGATGAAAGGTTTGCCGATATTGGCCAAAAAATACCGAAACAACTAATTCTGCTTTATTAACCGCCATCACTCAACCTTAAGTCAGAAAGACCACGGGTTCCAGGTGATTTCAGCAGCGAAATTCTAGCGCAGCTACTTCAGTCGGGTTGAGAGTACTAAAAGGCCCATACGGACTATCTTCCCCCTACTAGAATGGACTGAGGAATGGAAAAAGGGCGTTTAGATTTGTCTTGGAGCTATGGGCACATTAAAAGCGAAGGATTGATGGCGAACAAGCAATAAGCGAAAGGCCCTCCGACCAAAAATATTCAATTGGAAACATAAAAATACACAAGTTTGAGCCCTTCCAATCGAGTAATGGCGATTCCGGTCTTCCTTGTGTTTGTCGGTTCTGACTTATTTTTTATATGTAACAAGTCGCTATATGACTACCTATGAGGGCTCTAAAGTAGGCTCCAAGACACAACGAGACATAAGTTTTCGGCGAGCGTC